ACAAAATTACAAAAAGCCAGAAAGTAAGAAAAGTATGAGCTATTTCATACATTATCAGCAGTGTTTTTTGCTGGTGTGGAGGTTTTCCTGCTTCAGATTGAGTAAATGTCCCCAGTCTGGCTTACACTAGTGGAATAAAGATGCTTGCACTGGCTTTGGCCTCATAGTATGCACCGTGCACTGTGGGCTGGGATGTTAGCTGTGCCCCCGGCTGCCTGGGCAGCAGTTATAAAACTAAAGGAAATACTGCTGAGCTGGGATGCAAGGTCTTTGCCCAGCCTTTGTTACCTATGATAAAAGAAACTCTGGTTAATCCTGAGAGCTAGAGACCAATGTCAGATTTCCAAATATGGCCATGTTCTCTCTAATAATGTTAGTTTTTTAATCATCAAAAAAATTTCCATCAAGGAAAGCGAACTCATATGAACAAACTAGCATATTCCTTGAGTTAAAATGGATTGTTAAGAAAAGTGCAGCCCCAGCCTCAAAAGCTTTGTTCTGGCTCTGCTTATACTTAAAAAAATATATAAAATAGCCATGATATAAAAGTCTCAAGCTTATGTTGCAAACTTCGTTTTGTGAAGTTTTGGATGAGTGTGTTCAAAGCTCTGAAAAGCAGAATTTCAGAAAGAATAAATGTTATCTCTGCTGAATATCACGTTCCCTTAGCTGTTGTAGGGACTGTGTAAAAGGGTTTGGAGGGGTGGGGGGAAAGGACTTATTTTTACACTGGGGAAAATAGAAAGCTGACTTCCTCTTTGGATATTTCCCAGGAAACTACTTTGTAAAGACAAATTTAAATCTTTCCGTTTTCTGTCCTTGAAGGTGGTAAATACGATTGTGGGGTTTTTTTTATCCATTTTTATTGTAAATGAAACAGAGTTCAGACCGTCCGGCTGTGCGTCATTTGTTGGACGGCTGCCACAGACTAATGCAGACGTCCCACTGGGAGACCAGAGAAGAGCTGTACTTTGATTCACCAGATTGTGTTAAATAGTCCAGCTGTTGCGATTTGAAAGATAGTTACCTCAGAAGTGAAATAGAAATGAACTTGGCATTTATGCCTCAAACCATTTTTATACTGTTTGGCAATCCGCTTTTCAGAGGTAGCATTTTATAAAATAACTCTCACTGCTTAAAAGTTTCATTCACTGTAATGTTCAAAATGTCCCACCTTTATATTATCAGTAAAATTAAGCTTGAGTGATATGCAGAATTTGCATGAAATAAGCATGTCCCCCTTCATTTCATGAGCTTTGATTGTATTCAATTGAGCTCAGAACCATGTCGATTAGGGCTCTTTGGAGCATTAGTTAATTTGAATTGCAGCCGAAATGTTAGCTAGAATGTTGTTGAATATAATTGGGATGTGGAAAGTTGATTTTGAAAGGAATTTCATTGAATGCAAACAATGATGTGCTTTTTAAAAATCCGAATGGTGCACTTTAGTCTCTTGTGACATAGTCTGAGAAATCTCTGAATCCCTTTATCAAGTTCTGCAGTGGTGGAACCATTGGCAATTGTTCTCATACTTTCCGGAACCAGTATAGTTGGGAGTCAGCTCTTTCCTTTCACCCAGCGGGGGGTCCCACCTGCTACAGCCCCACCTTCTGGTTCTCCTGCAGTTGGGGAACAGTAGCTGCTTTCTAAAAGGGCGCCTACATTGTACCTGGGCATTGGGCTCTGAAGAGTAGTGTAGGTTGGCACATTTTGTCCTAGCATTTTGCTTATTGGTTTCTTTGTCTTGAAATTACCTTTGAGCATATGGTCTAAAATAGCCTGTGAAGAATATATATTTGAGTGGATCATAAATGACTTACAAGGAAAAAGCTTTGGCTAGGAGATCAGGATTCCACAGTGTGTTCTGTATTTGCTGTTTAGGTTTTGTGCTGTCGATCCAGCCATTTCATCTCTCCTGGAGTCTTCTTCTGACCAATGAAGGGGTTAGACCAGTACACATTGGAGATCTCTTCAAGCCTGAGTGTTCTAGAATTCTAGTCTCACTTCTTGCCACTTGTAACATTTCAGTTTTATTTGGCAGATTTTGCTGCATGTAGGGGAAGGATTGCCATGACTTTTTATGCAGACTGACTTTTATTTGCGTATCTGTGGTCATCCTCAGGCCTGAGAGTTAGCCAGGGGGCTCCTGTTGACACGACATGGGCCTGCAAGGGACAGAATAGTTGAATCTGCAGCTGAGCAGCTTAATTCAGGAAGACTGTTTTTTGGGCTTTGAGATGATTCCAGGACAGTGTCATCTGACAGTACAGTTTCTGAGTTTTCAGTTCACTCAACCTGTTCATTGCTGTTACAAAGCGCGGAGAGCACTTCCTGGAGGTGCTTGGACCCTGCCAAACACTGATGAAGACAGCTTTTTCTAGGACACGCTCACCGCCCTTCACCTGCCCACACTCAGGGGCATGAAACATTCTTCATAGTTGCACCAGTGACCAGGTTGGTATGGCTTGATGGACGTTGCTGACTCCCAATGGCAGAATGAAACAAAGACATCTTTTGCATGCTTTCTGCAGACTGGCTGGCTTACACGATCAAGGGCTCAAGACTCCAGCTGGTAAAGCTGCCTGAACTTGGCCTGCAGATTTCCACATGGCTTTTCCCAGAAACCTAAGCAAGGCTGCAGCTTCACTTCCTAGAATTCTCTCACATATTTGTTTCCAATTACCCCCAGGAGAAATTTGCATGTGATATAGAAGGCAGAAGTGAAGTCATCATCCTTTAAAAAAGTCATGAGTGGCAGGGCAGATTTTGTTACAGCTCCTGCACGGCAATGCTGACATGCAGACTGGCCTAATTGGCATGTGGCAGTGGCCGGCCTGCTGTTCTCCAGCTTCTCCCATGTCCTCTAGCTTCTCCCCATCCCAGATCAGGTGCATTTACAGCAATGGGTGGACAGCTCCAGCTGATCTCACAGGTCATATGCATGGTGAGGATTGGTACTTGTGGGGGATAGACAAAGCAGCTCTGGTTTGTCATCAGTCTCTGCCACTTTAAGACCACCTTCCCTTTCAGCTGCAGAACAATGGTCTTCAGGCCCAGCCTCAGGCGCAGGGGCAGCCTGGTCTTACCCTCCAGCACCCAGGGTCCTTTCTTTCTGAGTCTTCTGGCTCTGTTTCTCTGATGACAGACTTTCAGTTGTTACTGGAGCCACAGAACATGATAAAAGGTACCCTTGGGGATCCCACACCTCATACCTAACCCCTAGTTCAGTAGCAGATGGCTAAGTGGTTCTTTGGCCAGGGCAGATAGACAGTGTGATAATGCTTTCTAGTGAAGACACACTGGCACCATCTTTATTACAGTATAAGCACCCAGGTCTCCTTACTTTTCTTACCTCAAGGAAGACAGCGCGCGCACGCACACACACACACACACACACACACACACCACGATGGCCATGTCCCCAAGTTGATAGGACCTGATAGTCTGAAAACAACTTCTAAGCATGTGGACTGAGCTTGTAGCACAGTTCAGAAAGTGAAGTGCTGTGTTTGCATTTAGTGGTTTGGACTTCACCTGGGTCATACAGGACACTTTCTAGGAGTTGACCACTTCCTCTGTGGTTTTGGATATAAGAGACCTCCAGACGTGCTCACACCAAATGCTTTGGCTTCTCCTGTTCATTCTAAGCTATTCTCAGTTTGTTAGTATTTGATCATTGGGCTCTTTTACAAACAGTCCGTGCTCTGTTGGGGATAGAGTTGTGAATGAGAAAAGATTGCTGCCTCGTGGATGCTTGCATGCTGTCAGAAGACAGGAAGCAGTTGACAGTGGTAAGCCTAGCAAGAGAAATGAACAAGGTGAAAAAGTTCACAGGCCCATCTAGCCTGCTTAGCGGTCAGGGGTAGTGGAAGCCACTCCTGGGGCGGGGCCAGCCAGCAGCTCAGAAGCGCTGTACCCATCAGGAGCAGGAGAGCAAGGTTCTGTTGCCCAGGCAGTCTCATCTCTGAGGCTTAAAGAAAGCCTGGTCCTAGAGCCAGCCAAGAGGCCCAGAACATTCTATAGAGCCCTAGCTCTGTGCTCAATCTCCGGGTAACAGCAGCCCAGGGCTTTCTCCTTAGTAGCTTCTGGCCATAGTTTTTCAGTTACAGGATTTGAACTCAGAGGCTGGTGCTTGCTGGATAGGTTCCTTACCACTTGAGCCATGCCTTTGCCTCCCCTGCCTCCTTTTTTTATTACTTTATTTTTTTGGGGGTAGGATTTCGGGTTTCTGTCTAGGGCTACCTTTGGACTATAATCCTACCATCACGTCTGGCTTGTTGATTGAGCTGGGATCTTGTGAACTTTCTTCTTGGGCTGGCCTCAAATTAAAATTCTCTTGATCTCTGCCTCCCAAACCACCTCTGAAATTCATTAAGAAAATGTCTCAAGAACCCAGATTGTCCTATTTTTAAAAACCATATTCCCCGAACTCTGCCACCTCCCGCTTGCTCCCCTCCCTGAGCTCAGGTCTCTGTGGGCACAGCTGGCTGCGGCCCTCACCTGTCCCATCAGTGAGGGGGGGAGGGCCATATCCTCTCTCCATGAAGTCTCAGAGCTAAGCTGCAGCCAGCTGCTCTGGAGCAAGAGGAGGGGAAGGGGTTGGACTGGCTCCTTCCAGCTGAGAGGGAGCTGTGGGGTAGGGATCAGGGCGTGGGCAATGGTGGGATACACAATGGACCCATGGGCTTTGTACTTCCTGAGAGGAGCAAGCCATTAAGCAGGTAGGTACATTTGGCTTTTAAAACACATCCGTACTTAATCGCTTTAACTTTTCCTGCCTTCCCTCACTTGGCCTTGCGCTCCTAACATGTAATCTGATAGCTTTATTATTATTATTTTTTTAATGGCTGGCATCTCAAAGACTACTACATGCATGTTGATTAGACTTAGAATATCGCAGAATTTTTTTTTTTTTTCAATTTGGTCTGAATCCAGGAATAGGAAAGACATGTTTTCTATGTCTGCCTTTTATTTTTCCCATTTAACTTTCTATCCCATAGGCCTCCCAGTAATGGCGGATACAGGAGAAGATGCTTTGGCGGTGAAAAACAAGCTGAACCAGTTGTAGTTTTAGATCCCGTTTCTACACGTGAATCCCAAACCAAAGACCAGGTCACTGCAAAAGATCCAACTCAATGTAAGGAAGAGGAAGGCGAAATTGAACCAGAATACAAAGAAGACAGCGTTGAAAAAATGAGAGAGACAGACAGCTCCAACTGCTGATGGGAAACCGGAAGGCTGACCTGTTGGAATCCTTTTTCATAAGCACATGCTTTGTCTTGGTGTGTTGTCTAAGGCTATAGCCATTCTGTTCTCCCTGTATTTCTGATACACGTTTTTCTGGTATCACTTTTGTAAGTAGCAACTATACACATAAGTAAGTGATTTAACAACATATACATTCTAAGTAGCTTTGGGTTTGTTTTTTCTTTGTCTTAATAAGATTTTTCCTGATTACTGTATTAAGTACGACTTCTTGCTAAAGGCTAAGATACAAATGCTGATATCTTTGGAGGAATTGTGCATACCACTTATCAAATGTAATGCTGAAAACTTTTGAGGTGCTTGTGGATCATTGGATAAACAGAACTGACCAACTTAATGTGACTTACAAAGTCCCCAGAGCCAGCTGTAGTGGCACATACCTGTAGTCTCAGCACTCAGAAGGTGGAGGTATCTCATCATTTGAACCCAGGAGTTAACAGACTAGCCTAAGCAGCACAGTTAGACCCCATCACAATTTTCTTTTTAAACTCTATTCCAAAGAGGCTTCTGTTTGGGGTCTCCTCGTCTTTTGATGGAGAAACTACAGCAGCATGGGACCTGCTGGGGACTGTGGCCTACAGGTTATTTTCTAGGGCAGCCTGGGATGAACTTTGAACTTGGGCTCTGGCATTATCTAGTCGTCCCTTAGTTCAGGGCTAATTACACAGTTTTTTAAAAAGGTGCAATTAATTGTTCATGCCTAACACCTGCCAAGGACTTCAGTGGGAATGTTCCAGTGGCCTGAATACAGAATTGAGGTGAAAAGTCCGAAGCTTGAAATTCACAGTAATATCTTGATAAGCCATGTTTTCTGTACTGTGAGTTGTGTTTTCCCATATACTAACCCGGTGTGAGTACCGTATTTTATCACAGTTCTTATGCACAGTGACAAGCACACCTTTTTTTCTGGCTTCACTGCTGTTCTGCATTACCCAGGTTTTTTGTTTTGTTTTGCTTTTTTTTCTTTTTTAAAGAAATTAAGTGGTAGTTAGTCTCTAAAAATACAACGTTTCAGGCTACCACCGCGAATAAATAGAAATGTAATCAGGGATTTTTTTAAAGAAAAAAAAAAACTTATGCAGCTTTTCAAAGTTGATTGTTTCAAAATTGGTGTTTATTTAAAATAAGTGGTAATGCACTTGAATGCACTTTTTTATGACAATGATTCGGTAATGGTAATTTTACTATTAAAGAAAGTGAAAGGTTTAGTTGTGTTAGCATGACTCAGCATGTAGCTGTCAGGTGTTTTGCACCTAAGGGCAAAAGAAAATGATAGTAATAATTACAGTAGTTGTGTTTTATTGTACTTTTTGCACGTGTGCTGAGCATAGATTTGACAAGGTGGGGAGACGTGAATGGACTGAGTGGGTCCATTTCAGTGGGTTCACGCTGCTTGACTATCCCCCATGTTCTTCCAGTGATGGTTTGACGGTTATCTCATGGGGAATTAAAAAATGTAATGTTTTCCAACCATATGTATGCCTAACTGAATAATCCTGCTATGTGATATGCAAGCTCTAAATGGATGGATCCACAGATGAATTCTGTTATGTTGTACATTGAACTCTTCTCATCACAACATATTAAAAAAAAGAAAGAAAAGAAAAAAATAAGCACTAGTAGTTTCCCACTAAGGTCAATTGTGGTTATTGATTATTATTTAATTTAGTTCTCCAAATGGTCCAGGGATTTTCTCTCCCTTCCTCCCCCCCTCCCTTTTTTTTCCCTCACTCCCCCCTTCCTTTCTTTTCTTTTTCTTTTGGCTATGCTGGAAATGGAACAAGAATTCCACCATTGAGTTATAGCCCCAAAACTTAGCCAATCTTGACATGCTTTCTATTGAGTTGGTAATGTTAGTATTTTTAATGATTGATCCATAAAATGGTTCACTTGGAACAGTTTTTTCCCCTTCCTTTCCCCCTCATTCCTCCTTTCCCTCCCTACCTCCATCCATCCTTTCCTTTTTCTGGATTTTATATTCTCTGCCACTTGAGCCACACACACCCTAGTCCACCAGTTTTGTTTTTGTGGTCCTCTCTCACCAGTTTTCTGGTACATGTCTTCCATATATTTAGGAATATAAAAATATGCATACCACTATCCATATTCCATACACACATCAACAGGATGACATGATTATTAAAACATCTGCATTTCCAGCAGAAGTTAACCATTAGATTAGATATGATTGCTGGTCCAGGCATCAGTTCACACCTGGTATTTTGAAAATGTTCTGCCTTCTATACTTTTGGACATATGACTTCAAAACATCTTAGAAATTGTTTTGTTTGTTTTGTTTTCTTATGGTGCTGGGGGTTGAGCCAGGGGCCTGTGCATGCTAGGCAAGTGCTACATCTCTAGTCTTCACAGAGTGTTTTTAGTCACATTGGTTTGAGGGTATTTGGTATACAGTATTTACTCATCTTTTTCGTTGCCTTTTCACCTCAGCTTTGAGGGTTTGCCCCTGCTGACTAGCTGTTAAAAAAGCAGTTGGGCTAGGATAGGCAGACACAGGGAAACTAGTCCTTGTACATTTAAAGTAAGTTTGCAGCTGTGCACAAAAATTGCGTGTGCATTCTGTTTGCACCACTGTGTACAGCTGTAGCTGGGAGAGAGTGTATAGTTCTGTTTTCTCTAAAAGGGCATGTGTTTATTTTTCCTTCTGCCTTGGAAGCATAACATAAGTCTCTCTGCTTCACTTTTCTTAGCATTGACATGCTTTTATAGCCACTGTGAGGCAGAGGGGGAGAGGTCCTTTGTGTTGTTGCTAGTAGAAAAAAAGAAAGTGTCTCTCCTCCCTTCTAGAAGAGTAAGAATTTATTGCTCAGCTTGTTGGGAGTCTGACTGGTGTGTCACCAAGGCCAGAGGCACACAGCCTGGGTTGGCCAGAGGGGAAGGGGTGGATGTTTTGGCTCCCGACTACTCACCAGTAATTCCTCCTTCCTTTACCTTTGTTAACAGTAGAAGGGTAGCTAGAGAGGGAGAAGATAGAGGTAAAAATGATAGTTGATTATCTTTCTGGGTCATGTGGTAGGTGGTGTGGTCAGGCAAGTAATAGTCTTTATCAGAGAGTCTCAAATCCAGGGGCCAGTGCTTTCCTAAAGGCACACTGTCGGTGTGCCTTCGCTTCCATCAGAGAACAGCTTCACTCTGTGTCAGCAAGTTGGGAGTGGATGACCACCCACTGTTGTCACTACCTCAGAAGAGTCATCTGATCATGCCCACAGAATGGGAGTGTGTGATGTTTCCCCACCCCAGGGCCATATGGGATCTGCATATGATTAACGTCTCCCGTTGCTTTTTATCGACATTATATATTTTACATGTTAAATATTTTATGACTATATGAAGAACATAAACAGTGCTCCCTATCTGTTGGTGAGTTTAGGCTTCAAATAAGGTTATGTGAGAAGACTGCTCTAGGTTGGAATTAAAAGTACTGACCTCGTTACAGTAATAAATCCCTTCTTAGGTTAGGATCCCTGCTTAGGTTTCATTAATTTGATTATAACTTACAGCACTTTCAGGGCACACACCTGTGTGTGTACATTTGCAAAGGCTGTGTGAATACCAATCATGTTCATCCTACCTTGAAGATGAATTTTCCATCCAATTTCTCCTGCCTCCCTGTTTGTGGCTAAATGCCAAGAGAGGCAATGACAGCTACAGACTGTGACATAATTCCAATTCCAACCAGTTCTCTGCTCCATTCTCCAAGCATCTCCTACTGGGCCAATCTCAAATTGTAGCTTTGAGAATCAGAAGTTGATCTACTATGAGGCCATAAAGTTCCCTCGTTCATACTCTTCAAAAGGAAGAGGCACTCTGTACTTAATAAAAATTTATAGACCAAGAAGCCTAAATTTAGTCACCCTGCTGTAGGTCAGGATATAGCAATTTATATAACTTTTAAGAGCAGCAAATGGTAACCCTTTGAATAGAAACCCAGTCATCGAAAGCAGTGGACATCATCACATATATAGGCTGTCTCTGAATTTATTTCTGGTATTCCAGTTCTATAACCCCAACAGTGACTTACAAAAGAGGTGACTCAGTCAATATGCACGTTACATCATTTTTAACCTTCCAAATCTTTAAAAAGCGGTTGTGTAACTAACTGATAGCTAATAACCTTAGGAAAATTTGCTAGCCCATGTACTTATTTGTACTTGTCCTTCTAAAAAAGTATCTGAGGAGATTCATATAGGTAAAAAAGTAAAATACAAGAGTAAAATTTAAGAAGGGGAAGTGGCAAAAGAGGGGTCAAGTGTAGGAAAGGGGGCTGAAGCCATTCAGCTCTTCCCAAAAGGGTACCCACCCCTCTCCTAGTTCTACCCAAGGCTGGCTCTGTGTCAGCACAGCGGTGGAAAAGGAACACAGAAGGTGGACACCCACTGGTCACGGAGAACTTCTTGAAGAACGCAGAGATGGTATTTTTAGAGGTGTTCTGATTTGTAATGAACAAGACGTTAAGAGTATGGAATTTGACAACAAAAATGCATCTAAGAAAACTAGATCGTGATCCTGAAAAATGGAGAGTGGAACTAGTGTCTCCATGGAAGTATGATAAAATGTGGGGCAAAAATTATATACATACACCAAACAATGAGATTAAAGAAATGAAAATCACATGAGTTAGTGAAGTTTTCACAACAAAGCCAACATGGAGACATACTTCAGACCTGTGAGCCTAGCACGCAAGGGATGCCTCTGGCCTGGGGCCCAGCCCCACCTCAAAGATGCTCATCGTCTGGCTGGGCCCTCTATAACCTCCGTGGGGAAGATAGGCTCCTGGGGAACCAGCTCACTCAGTGCGGCGGTAGCAGGCTTCTCGGCATCCTCGGTAAAGGGGAAGAAAGTGTGTTCTTCACTAGCACCTGTTTAAAACCAACAACAATGAAGGTTACTGTCTGATCTAGTGTTACCAATTCTGATGTTATTTATCACATGATTTGAAGGACAGAACCAGAAACATCCAAAGGAGTCACACTGCCATTCGGATCCACACCTCTTTAAGATGTCCTGTCTTCAGTTAGGCCTTATTTGTGCACACCCTGTTGTCCTGTCTAGTGTATAGGACATCTAATGCCATGTTTGGGGAAGTCTGAGACACAGTGCCAAAGACTCAGCAGAAAAGGCTAAGAGGAAGACAACAATGTAGAGGAAAGGCTGGTATGGAAAGACAGTCCCAGGCAGACTGATTGTGCCAAGATCCGCTACTCCAAAGTGGGAGTAGAGAGCTTTGTTTTGCCAGTTTAGGGGGCCCCTTAATATTTACTGCCCAGTGCCAGAGAAATTATTACTAAGTCTTTAGTTCCAGGGCTACAAATGGCACCTTGGACTCCCCGCTCCCTCTGCCTCCAGTCACAAGTTTGTTTTGGTGCTCTGAGTAGCTGTGTTCCTTGAGGAGTCTGGATGCAAATGGAGAATGCACTGGAGCTTCCTAAGGCCTCCACAAGTTGGTACAATTAAGGACAATCAAATGGTATGTACAACCATAGAGTCTGACCTATTTGACAAAAAAGCCAGTGTGTCATAAGTAAACAGCATAGTCTTAACATTTTTTTGTGTGCCAGTACTAAGACTTGTATGGAGCTGAACCAATTGAGCCACACCTCTGCTTCCTATTGTTTGTTAGTTAATTGGAGATCAGAGTCTCTCAGACTTTCCT